TTATTTATTATTATTATTATTATTATATTATTATTATATATATATATATATGTATATATATATATGTATGTATGTATGTATGTATGTATGTTTGTAAGTATATATATATATATATATAGGTGAAGCTGTGTAGTAACTAATAGTGCTTTTACAATGTTAAATCCCCACAGTTTCAGGCTGCAGATCCGAGTGTACTAGAAGGCAGAAAGTAAGTTTTTTTTCTAGTGTTCCACACACTGTACCACGTTGTGCGCCGTATCACACCAATACCTTCCATGATCATGCCATTGGTACAATTGGTACGTTCATTCTGGCTGGAGTGTGGCACACATAGTGCCGCATACTTCGAGGCATTTGTAACAATCGGTTCTAAGCGGGTTGTGCCAGTGTGTGCAATATTCCCGCGCTTGTTATCTCGCACCGGTGATTGAGCATTGTAGTGTTTGATTCTGTTGTGCTTCGTGCAAGGCTTCTCGCGTACTGAAATCTACAAATATTCTCCCTCTTCCTATCTTTACACCTATTAAACAAAGGTACACTTTACACATATCTTGACCTTGTAGATCAAACAATGGTACACTTTACACCGATCTTGACCTTGTATATTAAACAATGGTACACTGTACACCTATCTTGAGCTTGTATATCAAACAAAGGTACACTTTACACCTATCTTGTCCTCGTATATCAAACATAGGTACACTTTACACCTATCTTGTCCTTGTATATCAAACAAAGGTACACTTTACACCTATCTTGTCCTCGTATATCAAACATAGGTACACTTTGCACCTATCTTGTCCTTGTATATCAAACAAAGGTACACTTTACACCTATCTTGACCTCGTATATCAAACAAAGGTACACTTTACACCTATCTTGACCTCGTATATCAAATAAAGTTACACGTTACACCTATCTTGACTCTGTATATCAAACAAAGTTCTGCGTGCGTAGTTGGTAGCGTCTCGTGTATGCTTCTCTGTGCTTGCTCGGTATCGTATAATCCGCAATGCCCAGTGGCAGTGTCGGGTGTTACACAACTGTACTGTGTTGGTACGAATGAACTGCTTATCGTATTCTACAAAAGGTTGTATTGCGTACCTGGCGTCTACCTTGTCTTGCGCTGTTGAGCCTCATTGCCATATCCCATACTATTTCTGGTGCCGTATCAAAGTTACACACACCTATTGCGGTGAAAGATCTGAGCTCAAAGTCCATGTCATGCCTAGTACTGTATATGGCGTGTGAAGTTTGCACCCACCTGGCCTCCGTCCCCTGTCCTTAAGACGTCGAATTGTACCACCAGGGTTTGTGGCCCTCATTGTACAGTCCAGATCAACGCCCAGCGTTTTGTTGGGTAATCGTCGGTGTGTGTTTGTGGGCACTCTAGTGCACGCGGTAGTGGACCCGCATACTCGCTAATACCTGACAGCCGCAGATCACCAGTCGTGTGATACCTCGTCTCGGCAGTGTGCTTCGTTGTGTTGAAATGGCCCAAAAGCTAGTCCTGCCCCTTAGTCCAGTCCTTTCCACACCACATGGTGGTACACCCGCGCTCGTAGTTGCACCAAGCACGCACCTAATTACAGCAGTTGGAAACATGTGGTTGTATGTGCACTTATGCCTGTACCAACCAAACAAGCATGAACCGCTCTTGCAACCCCGAGATCGCTAATGTACTCTCCACTGCTGAAGCACACACGCGACTACTGCACCTTTATTAATGTCTTCTTATACCTAACCCCCAACATCTGTGTAGGATGGCTATGTACTCTCCATGACTGAAGCACACACCCGACTACTGCACCTTTATTAGTGTCGTCTTTTACTAACCCCTAACGTCTGTGTCGGATGGCTATGTACTCTCCATGGCTGAAGCACACACTCGACTACTGCACCTTTATTAATGTCTTCTTATACCTAACCACCCACGTCTGTGTAGGATGGCTATGTACTCTCCATGACTGAAGCACACACCCGACTACTGCACCTTTATTAGTGTCGACTTATACCTAACCACCAACGTCTGTGTAGGATGGCTATGTACTCTCCATGACTGAAGCACACACCCGACTACTGCACCTTTATTGTTGTCTTCTTATACTTAACCCCCAACGTCTGTATAGGATGGCTGTGCCGCGTAAACGGGCCAATATATCAGGTGGGGCTGGAGGTAGACCTGACGGTGCTCCATTGTTCAAGGGCTTTGGCAACATGAGTTCACTGCCACCACCACCCGCCGCTAGTAAAGAGGGGTATGTATGTGTGTGTGTGTGTATGTGTGTGTGATGATTGATTTTGGTTTGGTTTGTTTTGTTTTGTTTTGTCTATTCTTTATTTTGCTGTGCGTTGTGTCATATAATTGGGAATATTAGCTCTCTACCGCCACCCGAGTCGACCACTTGATACTGCCGGAGGTTTAGTGTGTTTGTGATATGGATTGCTTCTGAGTAATGTTTTTGTTATATGTACGTGCATGCCCTTCTGTCGTGGCAGTGAGGCGTTGACATGTACCTCACAGTGCACACCCGAGGCTGCACTGGGGTATATATGCGTTGCTGATAAATGCTAAGATATATACTCTCTATTCCGATCTGCTGGCATTACTGTAGATAGGGATGTACAAGAACATACCACACCCGTGCACTACCAAACCCCTCCAACCCCTAACCCCGCTGGGTGTGGGTGTGGGTGTGCGAGATACAAATCCGCACACGTCGTTTTCTCTCGTTGGATGCGCCGGACAGGCACGTGTTTCAACACACTGTCACCCATTGGCCAGAGAACACGCCTTCACATACAACCCTACGTAGCATATGCAGTGCTCTTCAATAGATAGAAGAGAGATAAGAAACAAAGTGGTTCATAGCACTACCACCACACTCTTTTTCTTCCTTGCTTGCCTTTCCTTTCCCCCGGGGATACCATGCAGCTGCATGTTCGTATCACCTACTTTCTGAATTCTCAAGTGAACACACAAAACAGCGCACCCAAATCTGCCTTCGCCGGGCTGGCCCCCTCATTCGGTGGAGCGCCAAGTGCTCCATCGTTTGGGTTTGGGACCACTCCTGTTGAACCTGCCGCCTCCTCTTTTGGGGCCGGGGCAAAAGCGAGTCCTTTTGGAAAGCCAGCGACGAATTCTTCTCCAACAGTATTCGCGGGTTTTGGTCAAAAGTCCTCTGAATCTGCAGGTGTGTCGGTAAATTGACAATCTCGGATTGTGGAGTGTACTGTTGTGAGGTTGTGCGTGTGAGCCGTTGTCCTACGAGTGTGCTATCTCGTGAGTTTGCCATTCGATAGTATCTTGATCGATAGCTAGGTGTGCGTTGCTCTGTGCGCTTTGTTGTGCCGGTTGTATCTTCCATAGTCTCAACAGTGGAGTGTATGATATGATCCCTGGTATGATACGATCCCTGGATACGTCCCGTAGCCTCCCGCGTGTGATTATGTGCAGAGGCACGCGTGACCATTGTTCGACACGCCAACACGTACATACCATCACCCCTGGTACATCGACTAACACCCATAGCCGCCACCCACATGTGTATCGAGGTCCAGGTCACGTTTGTCTTCTAAGGCACTCACAGGTACAGCCCAGTTCGTCGTGTTCATATTATGGCCACTCACTGTCACGTACAAAACATGTCAATGCAACTAACTTCACAAGACATACGTTTGCTATGTTAGCAAACTTTCAAGGGCGGCTTAAGGAGGTGGCACTGCTCACCCATCCACCGATCGCTTATACATACAAAACCTCATTTTTGATCCTTTCGCTCCACACAAGTTGAACTACATGTGTATCACTGAACGCTCACACTGTCTTGACTGCCACATTCTCCAGCACCAGCAGCCTCCACTGTGACCTTTGGCGGACCTTCGAAGTCGGCGCTTTCTGGTGGCCCATCCAGCGAATCCGCCTCACAGTCTACTTTCCCACCTGCTGCCAAGCCAGGTGTGTGGGTGGGTGAATTCTGAACTTCCGTATATGTATAGTGAAATAGAACGGCGTGTGGATTCAAATAAGCTATATAAGGACCGAGTTGGAGAGTTGGTTTAGTAGTATATGTAGACCACAGGCGTTTTCCTCGTGAGTTTGCTGCTGATCCCTCTCCATCCCCTGCTGCCCTACTACTCCCATGTGCACTGACTTCCAGGTTCTCCTTTCGCGTTTGGTTCTTCTACGTCGGATACCGCACCCAATTCCAAGGTCCCGATAGCATTCGGTTCACAAGCTCCGTCCACTAATGCTTTCTCATCCTCAGGAGGGTACGTATACAGACCCAAATTTTCAAGTAGAACGCGCTAGCGAGTGGTCTGTTGTCAGTAATTATATTTATATATATATGTATGTATATGTATGTATGTATGTATGTATGCATGTATATATATATATATAT